GTTACTTAATATTCGCTTTCACATTGTCAACCGTATCGAATGAATACATGCACGCGTCGCATCGTGCACAATGAACGGTTTTCGAATCAGAACACTCTCGATTAATCCAAAGAGATGCTTTATACTTTGGCGGTTCCCGCCAACTATTAAACGCTGTTCAAACGGGTTGCTTATCTCGAAGAAAGGAGTAGGAGGTGTACACGGGTGAACACAAAGAGGGGAACAACCATCGAATTCAGAGGAGCTCGTATCTTCTAAAAGAGGTCTACGTTACATTACAAGGAATTCATCGCTTGAACCGATGTGCGCTTATATTTCATGCTCTTTTCAGTGTTTAAAACAAGAAAAATAATTAAACGACATTCAATTGCTTTTATATACAGTTAGATCATTTGAAATTTTGTTTATAGGTAATACAGCTCACTATGTATTTCGTAAATTTCGATTTGATCGCCATCTATCGACGAAACTGAGATACACGATGTGATCATGATTGTGAAACGATCGGTAATTACAATTTCTAACGAATATATTTATCTATAGAATAATAACTTATTTTATAACTTAAACTATAAGTAAAGTCAATTCCGTTAACGAACATTAACATTTTTACGTTATCAATCGAAAACGAACAAGTTTTTATTATTAGTATTTTCTCATTTAATACATGTAAATAGTTCATAACTACGCTTCGTACCATTTGGACTTCTTCAATTCTATAGATTTTAATTTGTTCTTGTAACTATTTACAAGTTTATCCAACTTCACGTCTACTGCCTTTACCTTCGTCCTTTGTTTTGGCTACAAAAAGAAACACAAGAAGAACATCAAGAAAGATTAGAAATAACAGTTCATGCTGATATGCGATACATTTGTCAAATCGACAGGTTCCTTACTTTAATTTCTTTTTTATTTTCATTCCTCTGCCTTCGCTTTTCTTCTAACTTTTTCCAAGATTTTTTCATCTTTCTCTCTTTCTTCACCGTTTCGCTATGCAATTTCGCTTGGTTTTTCAATTTAAATTTCGATCGTAATTTATTTTCACCAAGTTTTCCAACTGTTCCAGCGTATGGTTTTTTGTTTAATTCGTCTGTTCTGTCAGGTTTGAATTTTTTCAATGGAACTTCCTCGTTCATGGTTTCTCCTTTTCTTTTTACTTTACTTCCCGGACAAAGGGGATTGTTCTTGCGACTCTTTTCGACTCTTCTTTGTTTAGCGTTCACCATTATTCGATTTTCGATTGAAAAGGACACTATCGGCCTCTAAATAAACAAAAAACGAAATTGTGTAGCGCAAAATTCTGAAATTCGATAAAAAATTTTTTCGATATAATCTCAAAATGAATTATGTTACGTACTCTTTTCGAAGTAAATACATTCGGATTGTTATTTACACTTCTCAGAGCTTGAAGTGCATCCTCGTGTTTTGTAAACGAAACGAAACCATACTCTTTTGATTTTCCTATTCCTTTCGTATCAACATTTTTGAGATCTCGCATAACGCGTGCCTTTATAAAATTCGTGGTTAATATTTCTTATATTATCAACGTGTAACGTTATATGTATTAATGTATAAATACTTCTCTAATGATCGCCTTAGAAGGCCCATGTTTTTCGAAGATTTTCCTCAGCTTGACATCATCAACCGTAGGTGGTAAATTATGAACAACGAGTCTTACCCTCGATACAAACATATTGAAATTCCGCAATATCTGAGATTTCCATTGTTCTATTTGCAAACGTTTCGCCATATCTGCTGCTGATACGCCTGTTGCAGCTGAACTTCCAGCCAATATAACTATAATAATAAAATAATTTTATTTTGTAATAATAAAACAATAGTTTAACATTTTTTTATTATATTACCTCCTTCTTTCACCAAATACAAATTTCGGGAATCTTTGATTTTAAGCTGTTTCGAAAGCGCTTTATTGTCCATTTCATTTCTGTCTATTGCTTTTTGCGCTTCAACTATTTGATCCTCCATTTCTAATTCCTTTCCCGCTGATAGACATTTTTCAGCATCCTCGACATTCTGCAATAAATGTTTCATGAAAATCCGTGTATGTAGCCACGTACTAAATATTTATGATGTATATTTACTCTAAATTTAACAAATGCTGTTCCTTTTGAATATTCAGTTAGCGGATCCATGCATACGAGAGCATAATAAACAGGTCCGAATTGTTCCATGTATTTCTTTAATTGGTCGTTTTTCACGGAAAATGGTACATTCTTTAGAAATACAGTCTTTCCCTCTGAAACATCGTGAGACTCGAACCGTGGACGTTTAATTTCCTTTACATCTTTTATGTCTACATGTTCTTCTTTAACATCTTCGGATAGTTCGTCGTCTGAAGCACCACTTTCATTTTCCGATTTTATTTCTGTTTCTATTGAATCATTATCGTCAAATTCATCGTTCTCTGTGGTAATATCTACATGTTCTTCATCTTCGCTGAAACAAAGACACAAGTACATTAAATTTATTTTAGACATACATGCCATAAATCAAACTATATGCTCAGTTACTTACCTACCTAACTCTTCGTTTGAATTGGATTCCTTTGCAGTTTCTATGACAGATGCGTTTTCTGTATCGCTCTCATTCTCTATCTTTACTTTCATTTCGCCTTCTACACTGTCGGAATCATTCTTACAAAATTTATTTTTAGGTATAGCCCAATCAACCACAATGGGCCTATCGAGGAGTGGTTGCAAGTTTCCATAATGTATGGCTTTAGCTGCACTTTGCACTTGTTCGAATTGCAAAAATGCACATCCTACATGTTTACCATCTTCTCTTTTTAAGAGTTTCACTTCTTCTATCGTTCCATATTGAGAAAAATGTTCTTTTAATGATTCTTCGGTTACCTGAAATTATGATAAAAATTGAGTTATAGAATAAAACAGATACAAATCATTTATAATCTTCTCTTACTTGAAATGATAAATTTCTTATCACAATTCTTGCCCTTCTTTTACGATTTTTCTCCTTCTGAAGTTTTCTCCTTTCCAGTTTTCTTTTTACAAACTCCTCTGTTTTACATTCATCGTTTTGTTTATTTGTGTCTACTTCATCTTTCTTTGCATCATGATCAATTTTATGGTCTACATTTTTTGTAGATTCTTGTTTCAGTTTTTCACAATATCTAGATTTTGAAACAGCCCAACTACTGCTTATTATTCTACCTGAAAATATATTTTGAATCCCTCGTAATAGTTATTTAAATGTAATATTTATTATGAATAAGTGTATGTTTTGTTACAAGAACAAAGTATTACCTTCAAATTTTTGTTTATTTGTATTAAATATTGCTTTTGACGCATCTTCTAACTGTTTAAATTGAATGAAACAACATCCCACTGGTGAACCATCGTGACGTTTTGGGAAATTTATTTCGTCGATTGGACCAAATGGTTCATAAAACTGTTTGATGTCATCTACAGTTGTCTAATAACACAATATAATAAACATCAATGATTGCAATGCATAATACATTAAATTTTACGTTTTACTATTCAATATTCAAGATCTATCAACCTTAAACGGTAGATTGCGCACGATAATTCTAGGTCTTTTATTTTCATTTTCATTTTCATTTTCAATTTCATTGTCACCTCCAGCCTGCCTTAACCTGTTAGACTTTGCCTTTCTTCTGTAGATCCAAGAAAGTTTCTTTTTATCATCTCTATTCTCTATTTGATACATAGTAAACGATAATTAAAATTTACAGAACATAATTCTATTTAAGATATTTATACAGATTCGATAATAGTAGTATTTAAAACTTTACGTACTATTTTTTGTATTCCGCATATTGTATACCCACTTTAACAATAATATATTATAATACGATATTTCGTACTAGTCACACCAAATACTACACATTAAATTGATAAATTTTTATGTAAAATATTCACTTTATTAAATAGCATGCTGCGTGTTACGGTTGTTTACTTTTGAGGTTAAGAAATAGGCCAATAGAACTGCTGCCGTTAGATGGCACCACCAACTAAAGGGTCGATAAAGGGAGTGGACACCCGTGCCGTGTATGTGCGCGTACGCACTCACACAGCTCCACACCACTGTATACATACACGGAACTGCAAGGGTCCGCATTGTTCTATTTGTGTCTCGACAATGCAGATTCGAGACCTCTCAATAGTCATTTCCGCTAGATAAATGTTCAAACTAGAGCGCAAGCTCCTATAGGTAGTCTACTTTTGCTTTTTTGTGTCATAATTAATAATATTCACCAGTACTTCACGATCAAAAGAAGCAATATGGTGGTGCGACAGTGCTGCCACGTTGTCTAAGCTAACATACGCTGCTGAATATTGTTAATTATGACAGAAAAGAGCAAAAGTGGAGTCCCTATGGGAGCTTGCGCTCTAGTTTGAACATTTATCTAGCGGAAACGACTATTGAGAGGTCTCAAATTTGCATTGTCGAGACAAAAATAGGACAATGCGCAAGCCCTTGCATCCTGTCCAGGATTATCATGTTACACGTAAAATATAGTTCCGGCATTTGTCGCTACAAGCGCTCATAACTGTTTCCGCATATAGAGACACTCAGTCAGAAACACATAGCAAAGGAGACACATGCCATCGGTAAGTTAGGCTTTATAAACAAGCGAGATGTCAACAACAATGTATCGTTGGTGCGAGCAGCCGTCCGAGACACTCACACATGCAACGCTCGGTGGCATGTCCGTGTACCTACTAGACTGCAGGGGCTGCGTATTGCGATGTTGCCATTCTCACAACAGCGTCTCTCTACACTGTTACCATTTCACTGAAGTCGAAATCGCGCTTAGCATCCCATATTCTTACATTTGCCAACGTCGACTCTCAGTCTCTCGTCCTTCTTCATCGAACTGTTTCTTCTACTTTCGTCGTCGCTTCGAAACTCTAGCTTTGCGTTGGACGCGGTTCGATCCCGGTAGAAGCCACTTTTTTTTTACTTTTTCTTCCATTTGTATCATGTTTTATATATATAATACTACTAAATAACATTTCTGAATGCACCATTATCAAATACCACGTGTCGAAGGTAGAGTAGCATGAAATGTTAATAATTATTTAATTATTAAAGTAAAATACTTTGACACGATATGTAATATGCAAAATTTTGCCCAATAAATATTTCGACACTTCTGAGTAAACTATATATTATGTAATATGCAATCAATCCGTTATTGTGTCAATATTATGTAGAAACTATAGTATGAAATGAAATTGTAAAATAAATATTACTTTTAGTAACATTGTTACATTAATGATGAGAGTAAAAATTGGTGGAAGATGATGCCGACAATGTTGTCTACCTTTGCTCGTAGAGTTAGTATAAAAAAGGTAAGAGCATCAGACTCAGTTTTGATTTATTTTACGTATTACATACGTATTATTAAAATAATATAGAACAACCCAGAAACAAAAGGTTTATTTTCATGGAAATTATGGATTTACCCGTCCAAAGCATATTCTACAATTCTCAAAAGGGCTGTTATAAGTGACAATATCAAAAGGCTGAATTTAGAAAAACAAAACAAAATTTTAAAAATAGTAAATGAAAGTGATACAACAGAATTATCCAAGTAAGTAGTTTATAGTGACTCTATACTTTATAGCTTTATGATGTTTAATTATTTATAATGTAAATTACTGTTAAATAGATACATTAAACAATTATATGCCAAATCGATAATATCACATCGCAACACATTCGGACCTTTCAAATCATTGGATGATTTATTGTTATTAGATCAATCAATAGGTGATGGAGTAAACCAACTTTGTATTTCAATCATGCAAGACAATATGGATGAAATGAAACCTAATTACAAGATAACACCTAATGTTCAGATGAAAGAGGTACAGATGATGATTAATATTATGTAAATATAATTCTACATGTTTATACATTCTTTTAGATGCCAAAAACAACACTAGGAATTCATATAGGACCAACCTTGATAAGTTGGACTTTAGTAGATTGTAACCTTAATGTGTTAGTTTGGAACTACAAACACTGGCATGGTATTGGTCCACGAAAGAATTCTTATAATATAATCAAACTGGTGAATATTACAAAATTTGATATTTGAAGATACAACTTTATAGTATGCTTGATTGCTGCTTCTACTTTAGGTGCCATGTGTCCTTGAAAGTATACCTACAGCTGAGAATTATATAATGGAAGATATTAAGTTTTCAAAGAATACAATAGCTCCGTACATTTTGCACGCTCAACAGCAATTATCTCTTTCTATCATGACTTGCTTAACGTTAAGAAATGGTATTGCATTGCATTATACATATTAGTCTAAGGTATATTAACCATTCTTGTCTATCAAAATGTTAATTTCATAAAATTTACTTATCCAGAGACCAGCGAAATGTTATCATCCGCAAATAATATCTATGTGTTACATCCCCAAACAACAGTACGTTATTTCAATGCTCTGCACAATTTTCAAAATATAGATACAAATTATCTCGTGAATGTAACACCAACAAGCAGCGTTATAAGGATAAGTGACACAAAATCAATCGATATATATATAAACAGTGACATAAAAAATAAATATTTGTCTGCAAGCATCGATGATCAGGAACAAATGAGGTGGCCTCTGTTGAAGGTTTTAGCATATTTACGTATATTTGCAATTAAAAATCACGATTATAATTGGTATTTTTAATTTTGAAAAAATAGCAGATATTTATAAAGTAAATGTTAATGATTTCAAATATGTAAACTTTTATTCCGATTATCATATACCTGTAAATAAAGGAATAAATTAATCCTCTGTGTATGTAAATAAAAAACAATTTCTTTTTCTTATAACACTTATTCTTATACCTTTTGTATTTTATCTATGGCGGTAATATTTTCTGAAATTGCCAGTTTCAATTGTCACCACTAATGGTGCTATAATCTTATTCCATTCTGTAATCGATAACGAGTTTGATAGGTTATAAAAGTAAAAGGCCGGTAAAGAAAACTGATTCTTCTGAAATTCAAATAATTTAATACGAACCTAGGAAGACTTGCTTAAAAATTCATTTTACCAATTTACCGCCAAATACTAATTAGCAACAGCTATCTCAGCTGATTGGTCGAATGATACAAAAGCTACAAATTAGAGACAGCCAATGCTAGTGATATCAAGAATATTCCCACAGTAAATTAACACGATTGGACGATTTGTATTATGTTCTACTTTGCCTTTTATATATATGTATATGATTGCTCTAAAAAAAGAAAAAACAAGTAGTTACAACAATACGAAATATTGATGCAAAATGGAATATACATAATGTATAGCCAACTGTCTCTACTGGCAATAACAATAATAATCGTAGATTATACAACTATAACATTATATTATAAATTATTATGACATGTATGTATAAGAAAAATAAGTATCGATAGTTACCAGTTGAATTGAAAATGTGTTTAAGTACTAAACTCGTTATTCCACCAATTTCTATGTATCTTTTGTTAATATACCAAAGCGTAACTGTTTAAAGTAGTCCTTGAGAAAAAGAAAATTTCTCGGGGAATATAATTACTCGTATATTCAGTGGATTAATACGAGCCTAGAATATCAATGATATATTGATGTAATAATAAAAGATGCGAGGACTACATACATATAAATCTGTCTTCGTCAGATTGGTCGCACGAAATTCACTCGTGGAAAGGTTTTAAATCGGACGGAAGTAGAATCGATACTCCAGAATTCGATAGTGGCAGAAGTATGGCCGAAAGCGGATTTTCATTTCTGCTAAAGACAAAACAGCAAACAATACAGTGAAACTATTATTATGACTGAGTTAAAAGTACTTTATTGCATCCTCTTGTTAACGTTTTTCGAGCTGACGTCACAAATTCGACCGTCCTTACATGGCCACAACAATGGTAAGCTCATATTTATGCTATTTTAACGTACTTCGTTTATACCGCGATAATGCACATCTTAAACGATGCTCACGCATTGTTATTTTACGAAGAATCGATGAACATTAACGTGCAATGCGTCGTTTATTTTACAATGCTTCGTCTGATTTCTCTCAAGGATCGAGAAATGTTCATTTTTTAAGGAAACAGAAACGTCTCTATGTAACTCTTTTGAGAAAAAAAAAACACCAATGTTGCTTTGTTTACTGATAATTGTCTTTCTTTATGTCATGGAAGTGCAAGCAAACTTCTATTTACCAATGAAAGCCATATTTTCTTTCTAAAAGAAACTTGTTACCTTGTGACTTTGCATGATAGATTTGTGTGTAGTGTTAACTGGGATAACAGAAATCTGCAATTTCTAAGATAATGTGATTTGACAAGTACAATTTTACCAGAATATTGTCCATTGAAATCTAATATAGAGATTATTAGTTGGAATTTTATGTCATAAACTTGAGAAAAAAGTTGGCTCATATGGAAGTACGTATACATAAATAACATGTTGGCTGATAAACTTAACAATACCTAAAAAACATTATCGAGTATGATACACAGATCAGATACCATTAAGATATTGAAACTATCCATAAATTTTAAAAGTGTAATTATTATGTTTCCTTTGTATTTTCTTTAATATTATCCCATAATATCAAATGTTTTGTAGCCTTCGTACAGGATGACAATGACGTTCAATATCTTTTGGACAACATACCAATGTCTATGCATAAGGTTGGTTATATTATCTTTTTAATATACTTCAGTAGATACTACAGGGTATTCCTGAAATACTTGGCCAGAAAACCTTACAAATATATTCTGCTAATTTGCAAAAAAGTATTGTACAAATATAAATGTACAAATGCATTCTTTCATTTTAAGAACACCCTGTACATGTGTAACATAACTCACAGGTACATCATTTTTATTTTTATAGCATACAAGTCTTTTGCATCAAATCTATATGTCATAATTATTTGTTTTGTAGGATTTTACAAATACAGTACATGGGGCTGGGTAAGCATAATACTCATTAAAATAATGGTGAGTGGAAGTAGGAAAGGTTTTCATTATAAATTTCCTTCCTTACTTTTAAAATATTAATACACAGTATTGTGATCTTTTATCGATGAATTGATTACGTGTAGAAACTAGCGAAAACAATCATTTAAAAATCACTCTTTTAATTATTAATTTTTTTCAATACTCTGTAATAGAAATATTGTGCAGGAATTAATATTGTAAATATAAAATACCGAATTTACTTTAGTATTTTAACCATTTAATCATTTCATCATAGTACCATGTCTAAACAATGAAGCTTTCAAATTCTAAACACTGCTTTACTAACTGTGATTACTTCAAACTAATTTTTCTTGTACCTTTCCTATTTTCAATTTCCACTATTAGAAGTATACTCAAAGATTGCTGTAGAATGGATTAATATTTCGAAATTATCTTTTAAGGGATACAACATCAGACGAAGATAAAACACAAGATTCGTTATCTCATGTTCATTTCGAACCACATGTTTTGGACTTCAAAGAGAGGTAAGTAAATCATCCCTATTACCTGTGCTATTGTAAATGAACTTACATACAATGTGGATATTTTTCTCTTCAGACAACTTGGTATACCCCACCAAGAAACTGTGATCTTATTTAATAGAGATCATAACAAAACAATCCATCTTTTATCAATTTCTGGAAATACACGTCATTTCCATTCATCGTTCTTTCGAAGCAAAGTAAGTTTTGCAATGTTGAGTAGTAACATTTTCACTTAATTACAATTATACTGAAATATTTGATACGAGTATTGTACAGATGCTAAAACAAAAATGTCTAAATCAAATTAACGATTTATTATATGCGTAAATAATAAAATTTGAATAGTTATTAGAACGTGATTTGTACAGGTAATTCCACCGCTGGGGAACACAACGTTCGATGTGATTTTTCTTGGTCGAGAAGAAGGTGACATCGACACGTATCTTGTTATACATACTACAGATGGAACTGTGAAATACCAAGTAATTAATTGATTGTACCCATAATTACGAACTCGGAATATATATTTTTTTTATTAAAAGTATAATTTATCTTATAGGTAAAAGGAATGAGCATCAGTAGTCCATATCGACTCAGACCTGTAGTAGGTGTCAAGTTACCATTAAATGCAACATTTACTCCACTTATATACATGCACAATCCACATGCAGAAGCTTTAAAAGTACGTATTCGCTATTAAAATAAATTCAATCGTCGCAAATTTAGTAGATTTTTATTATATTTGTTATTATACCTTTAAAGGTCGTAGAGGTATATAGTAGCAGTGGAGAATTTCAACTGGAATTGCCATCAGGAGAAGCAGAAGGTTCGCGTGAACTGTGGGAAATCCCACCATATCAGACAAAGCCTATTATAAGATTACATTTTAATGCTTACACAGAACAAAATCATACCGCGTATATTAGGTTCGTAGCGTTATGTATTTCCTTGTTGTAATGAAACTTTATTGTAATTAACGTTTCTCTGTATCGTAGGCTTAAAGTAAATAACACTTCAGAAGTGCTTGTCGTCACAGTCGAAGTCGAAGTTAAAAGCGAAGCTGGCCTTCATTGGGGTGGAAGTTCTGGCGTAATTAATTTAGGTATGGGTGGTTCGTTACAACCTCCCATACAGTATCCCATCGCTTTGAAAAATTCAGCGAAAAAGCCAATTAAAATTATGGTGAGTACCATAATATAAATATTTAGTACTAATGTATATATTTTACTATCGATTTAATTCATTACAGAATATAATTAGTACACCTGTTTCCAAAGCATTGAGACTTCATTTTGAGCAAGCGGTAATTCCAGGAGACGCGGACATACCGATTGCCATTGGAGTACTTGTCTACGACTGTGCGTAGTTAAATTTCGCATTATATAGAATATATTTGTGCATTGTGTAAGAATATATATTTGTTATTTAGGGAAGACCGGATTAGAGTTACAACATTTTAAAGGGAAATTAGTGATAAAGGCGATAGGTCCCGGTGGTTCTAGTCAAAAATTAACAATTCCATGGATAGCACAAGTTCTACAGGGCGGTCTAGAAGTAAACGCATCAATTACGCATTATTGTTCTCTCCAATCTAACCAAGCGCGAAATTTTAGTGTCGTTAATAAATTTAAATTACCGTTAGCTATCACGAATGTCACAATGACATCACACGTGAAGTCACTTTTTACGGTAAGCAGATTCGATAGGATTCGAATCTGTTTGAAATCTTTCCCGCTTATAATTGTATAATTTTCCAGATAAAAAATTTTATTCCAAGAGTGTTAAAACCAGAACAAAAGGTCAATATATTTTCTTTACAACTTGCCAAAGATAAAAAAACAGATAACGTGAAAATGGAGTCGTCAATTTTAATTCATTCGAATGTCTCGGTAACCGAAGTCCCGTTATTTAGTTACGACGGGAAAGTGAGAAAAATTGTTCCCGAGGAAAGGGAGAGCGATGAGGGTACGATGAATTTTGGTACCGTAGGGAGCGGAACTGTGAACGAAGCTATTTTCGCTTTAGAGAATCAGAATCCGATTAATATAGATTTGCATGGATGGGGAGTTAATATGCCTGGCGCGGCACTGGAACTGGTGGGGTATCAAAGAGGTCCAGTAAATTTTGTGGACAAAGAGCTTCGTAATGTAAGCCTGCGTAGTCACACTGGCAATGTAAGAAGATTATTAAACATTTATTGTATTATACGTATATGTATGTATAGTTCTAAGAATAAGATAATTGTATCTCTTAATTTCAGCAATACATAAAGCCTGGTTATTTAGCCATTTTTAAAATAAAAGTAAAAACTCCTATGGTCGACGAAGACACCAT